TCAAAACAGACCTTGCAGGCAAGAAGGGGCTGGAAAGAAGTATTCAAAGTCATGAAAGGCAAGGACCTACATCCAAGATTACCCTCTCCAACAAAGCTATCATTTAGAATGGAAGGTCAGATCAAGTGCTTCTCAGAAAAGGTCAAGTTCAAGGAGTTCAGCATCACCAAGCCCTTATGATATGAAATGTTAAAGGGATTTATCTAAAAAAAAAGATCAAAATTATGAACAGTAAAATGACAACAAACTCACAACTATCAAAACTGAACCCCCCCCCAAAAAAAAACCCTCCTATGTAAACAGCTAGAATAGGAATAGAATCACAGAAATGGAGATCAAATGGAGGGTTTTCAGCGGCAATGGAGAGGGGAAGAATGGGGGAAGAGGTACACGGAATAAGAAGCATAAATGGTAAGTACAAAATAAGGGTTGATTAAGAGTAGTATAGGAAAAGAAGCCAAAGAACTTATATGTACGACCCATGTACATGAACCAAGGGGAGGAATGCTCATGGGAGCAGTGTGCAGGACAGAGGGGAATAAAGGGGAGAAAAAAAATGGGACAACTGTTATAGTATAATCAAAAATATATAATCAATAAAATATATATTTTTTAAAAACTAGAGGATTAACTCAGAAAATCACCAACACAGGTTTAGAAAGGTGAACACTACCAAGATATTACTTTCACTAACCATCTCTCATAATTTTATTAGCAAAGTTTATTTACCTTTATTTTTATATATGCCTCAACTTCAAAAGGCTAGTTGTATAATTATTTGAGATGATAAATATTAACTAAACTCATTTGGTGACCATTACACAATATATCATATAACAAATCATTAAGTCATATACACTGAATAAATACAATGTTGTATTTCAATTTTATCTCAATAAACCTGGAAAAATATTAGTACAGTAAAATAGGAGCAATAATACCTTAAAATATGAAACATTCTATTTAAAAATTTCTGCCTTTAATGCATCATTTCCCACATTTTAAATGGCATCAAAACTTTCCACATGGAATCACACAAAATAAAAATGTGAAACATTAAAAAACTCTACTTGATTAAGTACTAAAGAGGATGGGTTTTTTAAAAAAATATTTTATTATTTTTAGAGAGAGAGGAAGTAAGGCGAAAGAGAGGGAGAGAAATATCAATGTGTGGTTGCCTCTCATATGGTCCCCACTGGGGACCTGGCCCACAACCTAGGCATGCGCCCTGACTGGGAATTGAACCAGTGACCCTTTGGTTCACAGATTGAACTCAATCCACTGAGCTACACCAGCCAGGGCAGGATGGCTTTTTAAAGTACCACACATAAGGGGGGGCCCCCCCAAAAAACCCAGAATTTATTTATAAAGAAGTGTTTATTTGTGTTTAAACTTCAGTCATCTGCAAAGTACTCTCCATTTGATTCAATACACCTACAAGATGTTTTTTCCACTGCTCAAAAGTTTTTGATCTCATTGATTTTGATGCCTTTTAGTAATTCTACCATTTTTTATTTCGCTTCTTCCATATTGTCAAAATGTTTCCCTTGGAGAACTTCTTTCATCCAGGGACACAAAGGAAAAATGTTGCTCAGGGTGAGACTGGGTAAATAGGAGGGGTGGGGCATTGGGGTCATGCCATTTTTTTGGCCAAACACTGGTTAACACTCTACATGGTGTGGGCAGGTGTGCTCATAAATCACCCATCATTAAATGGGCAAACACACTAAAAGAATGGTCAAAAAAATTCACTGAAGCCAAACGCAGACTCTCACAACAATGCCAGCTGGTACAGTGATGCAGATGGGTTCCTAAAATATTCATCTAGTCGTGGAAACCTGTACTATACATGCGGCCCACCCTCAAGAAGATAATTCCTTTTTTCTTTTTTAGGTTTTCCTCATATGCCTTCACGCCAAGTAGGTTTCTTGATGGGATAATCTAACAGTTTTAGTAACTCACCTGCATATTTACACAGTAAATGTACCTGTTCACTGACTTTTAATTTAGAAGATATCTGTATTTAGAAAGAGGTAACCTTTAGGAGACTTGACTTTGGAGGTGAACACATGTTGTAAATACAGATGGTGTGTTACAGAATGTATACTTGAAAACTATATAATTCTATTAACCAATGTCACTCCGATAAATTCAATGAAAATGTTTAAAGAAAGAAAAAAAGAAAGAGGTAACTTTTGAGTGCTTGTTATGTAACAGTCACTGTGCTAAAGAGAGTTATGTTCATTATTATCTCACTTAGTCCTACGAGGTAGGTACTATTATTGGCATACCTCTTCTACCATGGTAAGGTGGAGTTTAGATTTCATACTTAACTCTGCTAATAAATAATAAATCCAGTCTTTCAAGTCAGAGCTCCAGAAAGATCCTTAACTTCACTAATGTTCAAAACAGTTGTCTCTTGGTACGACACTTTTAAATAAAATCTCCAGAAAAATTAAAGTTACATTATAGCACAAACTTCCTAAGTGGTGACTGAATTTCTCCTTTAGACTTCTCTTTAATATGCCAAAATAATTCTAGACCCCGAGCTTTCCTAAAGCTTTAATCATTTATGGTGCTCTCTGCTGTACCTACCTATTAGAACAATTTTAAAAAACATTAACACTACCAATTATTTTCAAAAGCCCAAAGATACTAATCAAGTGATTCTAATAGTCTTAAACACTATGCTCACACCAAAAGATAAATGGAGACTGAGGAACTTACATTCTAAAGTGCCACCATCTAGATAAAATTACTCTGTGAATTAGGATAATTCAATCAGATCCTATAAAACTGAACATTTTTCTCAAGACCAGAATTAAAGAGTAAGACAGTTTAAGGGCCCAAATTCTGGAAAGTAAAATGGCTTGCCACGTGACAAATTCAATAGCAAAAGGCAGGCAGTAGGGACCTGGGAGAGCAGCAACAGTTTAGAAGAGTAGTAAGAAAAAACAATTACAAAATGATTTATCTATTCAAATCTCACTGGTCATTCTGCTTAATATGATTAATTACTCTCAAAAACCATTTGCAGCTTAAAATAAGACCTAATATCTTACTAAATGGTGTCCTGAATTTTAACACATTACATATTAAGAGAAACCATAATGGCATTTTGTTAAGCACTAAAAACCCAATTACATTTTCTTAAATGTAAGTAAATGAAGGGCACCTTCGTTTATGATTGTTAACAGTCATTAACACCCAACAAACTGCTTTATATAATACAAACCAGTGTACATGTACACTTTATTTCTGTAACTTAAAAAGGAATATCTCCTTTAAAATGCAAATGATCACACCATAAACACAACTTATTTTTGTCACATCAGCTGTTTGGTAATGAGTGTCGGATATATTTTTTAAATAATTAAACTATCAGACTAGAGTCTTTTTAATATAAGGCACTCAGCAAGATAAACACAAAATTATTAACTGGAGGAAGGAAGTGTAGGCAGGAGATTCCACTTCAGTTGTGTGACAGGAAGTACTAGCTATGGAAATTTAGAAACAGGAATACTAAGTTCTGTTTCAGCAAAAGAAAGGAAGGTGAATAAGGGTAAAAGAGGAAGTTCTTTTTAGTCAACAATATGCCATATATTTAAGGCAATCCAAAGTCATTGCAAAAGTTTTTTAAAAGGCCTGGTTTTTCACTAGGCTTAGGTGGTAATGTACTTCCCTAGGTACAACAGAGCCTGGATTTGCAGTTTCACTGTTACAAGACTGGTTATGGGCACATTTTTACACTCTGTGTAGAGAGGTATGGTTGCTTGTATCATTAAACTGTTAGTGTCATATCTTAAACTAAAGTTTGAAGGTTAATCTTTTTTAGTAACACTATGTAAGTAAATGATCTTTAAAAAGTGTGTAAGTTTCAACACCATGAATATACTTAACACTACTGAACTGTACACTTAAAAATGGTTAAGAATAAATTTCAGTCTTTAGCATGAAGTGCGTAAGTTAATGAGAAATTATTCCTCTTAAGTGTTAATAGTAATTTGTCATGTAAATTTTGATTACTCTAAATTCTTATTATGCTTATTTTTTAATAAAATAATTTGTTGTTGTTGTCATCTTTAACAGCTGGATCCATTTTATGCAATTAATTTTTAAAGATAATTCCACACATGAGGATGAACTACACAGTGAAAGTGAAGCTCTATTCTCAATTACCATCTTCCAAATCATCTGAATTCCTTATTGCCAACAAACACTGGTTATAAAATTACAAGTATGTTTCTACTTCAGCTGATTCATTTATTCAGTGAAGTGCAAATCTCGAAATTAATGGAGCAAGATCCCTAACTGAATAGGCTTTTGTTAAAGCTCAGTAGTTCTGGATTGTGAGGTAGGCAACACTCCCTACACCTCAGATGCCGGCGATCCAGAATGCTTAGCTCAATCATTTCCAATCACTGTCTCAGTTGGCTCAGCCCTACCAAATTTGTCAGGCTTTTATGAACTTCTATTACGTTCTGTTCAGAAAAGTGTACAAACAAGCTTAGTCTGGTGACTTGGGAAGAGCCAGAAGCAACCAGCTTGGCTGGGCCACCTCTGGGAGAAGTGTCCAGGAAAAGAAAACTGGCAAGGCTCCAACTTTGCGCAAACCCCCTTATCTCAGTCACATCTACCTCCCTTCCTGAAGGGCTGGGTTCTGCGTTCTCGAAAGATCTACCCCTTCCAACTCAAATGTCATTCTCAGATCAGCTGGTTGAAGGGCAAGCGGCACCCAACCCACGCCCTGTTCTTCGAGCACCTTCTCCAAATGCCAGCGCTGGGCTCAGCTCACTCTGCAGCCCCCATCCAAGCCCTATACGAAGAGGCGCCCTGGCCCACGACTCCAGCCCGCGGACACGGCTGCCCTATACAGTCAGCCGACCAATCCTGGCCTGGACTGCTTTAACTGCCTGAGGGGACCCGCTTCTGTGTCTGCTGGGGGGAGACCCGGGAGGGCCGGAAGGGTCTCACTGTTGGGGGGGGGGAGATGGCCTCACCTTGACTCTTATTTCATAGGTGGTGAAGCGGCCCCGGCCGACCCCCACTGTCTGAGGGTTGCTCACATCAATCTCAAGGAAGTTGCTGGGCGGCCCATAGGCGTCGTTCAGATTCTGCGGCTTGGTGATCAGTCGCCGGGTGTCCGCCACTGTCTCCGCCATTTCGCAGTTGCAGCAGCCACCCCAGTGGGCTCCCTTAGCCCCTGCCGCGTTTCACCGACGCAGATGCCGCTGCTGGCCGCCGCCGCGGGGACACCGGGCTCGCGCGCAGCGGTGGCTGAGCGAACTAGCACGCAGGGAGGGCGTTCACCCTGCGCATGCGTGCGAAGCTCCCCCCCCCTGCCCCCCCCTCCTCCGGCTTCCGCTAGTCTGCCCAGGGAAGAGACAGCTTACTCGCCGGGACACCGCACCCCGGGTCCAGGAGGCCCAGCTGAGGCTGCAGAGGAGCTGGGCGGACACCAGGGAGTAGTAGCGGAGTCACGGGATTTGTAGTCACAAGCAGGTTCCGGCCACACTACAGCATCCACAATGCACCGGGCGAGTGCGTCTCGGTGGGAATGCGGATGGGGTGCTGCTGGAGCTAGGGGTGCGGGGGCGGGTGCTTCCAGTCCTGTGTTGTCCTGGGCCTGGAGCCCTGGGAAGACCTATGGAATTGATTTAGCGCCGTTTGCAACTGTGGGGACAAAATTTAAAAGGCAAGATATGAGAGGTTTGCGGGCTAGTGAAACAAACTGCCTCGGTTAACTCTATGCCAGTGTATTCACCGTCTCACCGTGAACCACTGAATGTGCCTTTCGAGATAACTATTAAACACTCCTCAGTAATTTTGACACTAACTTTGAGAGTTGCACCAGACACGTGTCCGCTTTAATAAATTAAATTGCGTAAAATTGGACAGCGGGATAAAGAAAACTTGCGAAATCACAGCACTAAGGTCAAACCGTTTTTGACTGTTGGGCCATCTGAAACAAGATGACAGATCTTAGGTAGGGTGAAACCTGCCTTGAACGCCCTATGTTTGGGTGGTCCGCAACTTTTTTCTTTCATTTGCCACAGTCCCGGTAAGATAAAAAATTTAAAAATTGGCAATCGTATCTCTACACCATTTGAAATGAAACTCAGATAAAACTTTATAAAAAATGAAAAGTAAAAGTACAACATAGTTCACCTGTAGTGAATGCAGGTTTTGAGCATTGAGGTAGAAGGATAAATTTCTGTTCCTTCCTGGACAGTTAGTTCCCCTAATGTTATATATTCCTTCAACTCTTTTTGAGTTTTTTTATGTTGTTTCAGAAACCAACTTACTGTAAATGATCTGTCCCTTAAAATGGAAAGTTGTCCAGATCACTAGCAACCACTCCTAATAACACCAAGAACAGTTGAAATACACAAATTACCTAAATATGATATGATTATTTCAAAAAATTCCCTCAACATTCATTGATTCAACAAACATTGAAAGCCTACTAGGTGTTTTCAATTCTAGATACTAGAGGGATAAGGGTAAGACATGGAAATTCTCTGATCTCATAGGGTTTATAATCTAATATATCTTGGGGGAAACAAATAGATTAATAAATAATTTACCTGCCAATATGATTGGTGTTATAAAGAAAATAAAATTGGATAATGTGATGGTGACTGAGAAAAGCTCACTAGGCAGTGTGATCAGGGGAGTCCTCCCTGAGTATATCTCTTTCAAAGTACAAGGGTAATACCAGAGTAAGTATGCCCAGACAGGACTCCCTGCTGGGCCTGTCTCCTGTTGCAAGAGACCAAATGAGAACTTCACTGGTCTGGTTAAAGCAGTGAGCTCAAGAAATGAGTATAGATGACTTTGAATTTAAGAGACCAAGAACCACACTGTATTGTATTGTTATCCTCAACACCTGAACAAAACAATCATGGTGTATTTTTATAAAAAGTTTCTGCCTCACTCATTGTAGGTCATGTTGGAGCAGCCACAGGCAGTAGCAATAGGCAGTAGTGCTGTGGGAAAACAGCTGCAGAGGAGAGCAGCGTAACAAGCAGCATAGCAGTCATACAGCCTAAAGAAGAGCTTCCTAGTATAAACATCAGGAAAAACGTAGCTTTATGGTTTTGGTGGTATTCCTAGAAAAATACAAAAAGAATAAGCAACTAGAATTAACTAGAGAATTTAGTGGCTGAATAACAGTAAAGAACTTAATCTGTAACTTTTCTCTGTCTAGGAAATGTGTAGTTAGAATGGAGATGGAAAAAATATCCTATTCACAACATTGACCAAAAGTTAAAAAAAATCTTATAAGGGAATGAACAGGATCTAGAAGAACAAAATTATAAATTTTTATTAAAGGCCATAATTCAAAACCCATGTAAAAGAGCCCTTGTTCCTGTATAGAAGGAATTAATATCAGAAAAATGTCACTCCATCCAAAATTAATAAGGCAATTGTAATTAGAATCCCAGTGTGGTTGGTTTACCCTCCCCTCTGCCTTTGGTGGGTAGGTAGTGCTGGACAAGATTTTTTTTTGAACATCTTTTTAAATTTTTTTTATTTATTTATCTTTAGAAGGGAAGGAGAGAAGGAGAGAAATATCAATGTATGGTTGCTTCTGCTGCATCCCCTGCTGGGAACTGGCCCTGCTGGGAACTGGCCTGCAACCCAAGCATGTGCCCTGACGGGGAATCGAACTGTGATCTTTTGGTTCGCAGGCCCATGCTCAATCCACTGAGCTACACCAGCCAGGGCCAAGTTTGTTTGTTTGTTTGTTTTTACGTTCATATGTTGGAGAATGACCGAGAAGATTACAAAACTAAAAAATATATTAAAGTGGGATTTGCTTTACCAAATGTTAAAATTTGCTATAAAACCACTATAAACAAGAACATGGTTTGGCTCTATATAAAATAGAGTAGAGAAACAGATCTCAGTAGAGAAGATGATATATTACAAGAAGCATTTCAGTTCTTTGGGGAGACAGTATCGACACAGTTAGATGTCCAATAAGGTATGTTTTATCTTACCGGAACTATGGGAAATGAAAGGAAAAAGTTGCGATCACCAAACATAAGAATAGAGGGGACCACAGAGATGGTTCCCTCCATTATATCATACATGAAAAAATTCCAGATTTAAATTTAAAGAATAAGTATATTAAGAAAAATAAGAGGAAAGTTGTATAACCTCAAGTAAGAAAGTGCTTCCTAGGCAATGTAGGAAATAAGCTATAAAGAAAAAGTAATTTAAGTACACGAATTTTTCAATAAAAATTATATAGTACAAAGCATAATAAAAAATTGAAGGAACTATATGTGTATATAACAAATAGAATAGTAAAAAGCTAATATTCCTAATATAAAAAGAACTCCCATAAATTGATAAGAAAAAGAAAACCCTGTAGAAAAATAGGCAAATAATGTAAGTACTCTTTTACATGTTTTTTTCATAATAAACATTGAATCAGAACAATCGTATAAGTGAATACCACTATTGTCCCCATTTCACAAATCAGTAAACTGAGGCGCAGAGGCTAAATAACTTAAAGATCACTTGGTACAAAATGGCAAAACTAGCTGCAGAATTTATATGCTTAAACACTATTTCATGCTGTTTCTTAGGTAAAGAAATTCAAATGCACAAGAAGCATAAAAGTGTTCAACCTCACTAATCAAATAATTATGTTAAAGGAAACACGAAATACTATTTTCTACCATATTGGCAAAAATAAAGAACAGTAGCATGCAGTGTTAGGGACAATGTAGGGAAACAAGCACTCTTACTTTGATGACATGAGTCTGAATTGTTGTAACCTTTGGGAAAGGTAACTTGATTGTATTTAGCAAAATTAAAAATATTCAGGACACTTTGATCCCCCAATCTGACTTTTGCTGCAAGAGGCCTTAGTACTTACACATGTAAGTACAGGTATATTTATTACAGCTCTATTTGTAGTGGCAAAAACTGTAAATAGCCTGAAGGCCTATTAATAAGAAATGCTTGTATATAGTATATTCAAATTATTTAATACTTTGAGCAAGTAGAATAATCCTGTTTTTATTTCTTGTAATATTAGAACTATTTTTAGTTACTAGAATTACAAGAGGAATACCCATGATGTATTGGTCAGTGAAGGTCACAGAGTAATCTGTGTAGTATGACTCCATTTCGTAAATAAACAAAACCCTGTGGGTTTATATATCTACTTTTATATGTGCACATTTTTGTGTGAAAGGATACACACCAGGCTGTTAACACTGGTAACTCTAGAAAGAGAGGCAATCTAAGTGGGGGGAGGGATCAGAAGACATGAACCTCTTGTAAAGATGGGTTAAGATGTTACCAAGAAACCTATAACCAATTTTATGTTTTCCTAACTGACAAATTTTAGAAAAGTAATTTGTCAGTGTGCCTGTATTACTGTGGGCACCTTGAGAGTTGTGTTCCTTCATTAGATTATATTATCACAGCTTGATGTCTTTGGTCCTTGAGATTCCTCTTCTTTCTGCAATCACTGAACAGTTAGCTGATAGTAATGGTCATTTCCTGTAAAGACTTTCTTATAGGCAAAAGGAGATGCTGGCTTGTGGGAGGAGTTGCTTTATATTTTCATTTCAAATTTGTACAATGGAGGTTCTGTTTTACCAACCAATCTCTTGTGAGTTTGACTAATGCATCACTCTTCCAGGCCTGATCACCTCTGAGGAAAATGATTAAACCAAATAGCTGGACCTCCAAAGTCAGACTCTGGAATTGTGGCAAACATAATGTAGACTTGGAAACTTCTCAAGAGCCAGATATGGCCACTTTTATATCATCTTTCCAGTTGAAAGCATTTCAATTCTCACTCTCTGACCTATTGACTAAACCCCAACTCCCTAGCTTCTGAGCGTTCCCAGAGAGAATCCCAAACCAGCAAACACCTTTGCAAATTTATGGTTTCCAACTTCAGTTGACCCTTCAGCATACCACAGTAATCTCTTATTTTATCCTCTCCTCTTCTCATATTTGTACCCCTTTTTCTTACTCTCAGCAAGTCACCTCACTTCATGCTACACCAGGCAAAGTTAAAACCATGAAGCTCAGTATCTTTTTCCTCACCACTGAACCGACAGCTTACAACATCCCCCTCAGAACTTCTCAGAGCATGAGGCAAGTCCAGGTCACTCCAGCTTTTGAAGGTGTGGGAATTTTTGAGTTTGGCATTGAGGGAATTATTTATAAACACTGTGGCTTGCTTGTTAATTTTAAGTAAAGCATTTACATGATTCAAAAGTCAAAATGCATTTAGATTATTCATTGAAAAATATGCCTACTATTCCTATTGCTAGCC